AGTCTGTCTGAGTGTCTCAGCCGCTGCCTGCAGGGGCCCCCCATCCTCGGCACATGGTAGGGGCTGCTGGGAACACAGCGTGGCATCCCCCGGTGGACCACTGGGCCCCGGTGCTGACCGTGGGGGCCAGGGCCAGGGACTGGAGGTGGCAGGGGGCCAGGCACAAAGTTCACTCCAGGGCCACATCCTACAAAAGAACCAGTCATGATCAGAGTGGGCTTTTGGCCAGGGTTGAGCCCAGCTCTGCCTTTGGGCAGCTCTGGTCCTTCAGAGTGAGCTTCTCGAGGCTTCCATTTCCCCATCTGCAAAATGGCAATACCGCTTCCCTTACCTCCAAACCAGCAAAATGTGACAATCAATGAGTTGAATAACAAGTCTACATATGCTGTTCTAGACCGAGCAGTGACTGAACCCAGTCCTGGGGGCACAAGGAACTACCCATCTCCTTAGTCCACCTGGGCACAGAGGCTAGGCTGGGAAAGGTGCATGGGGAAGCTGGGAGAGGTGTGAGGGGAGGCTGCGGAGGCACCTACCTACGTGGGGTGACATCGAGAAGTCTTCTGTTGAATTATAATTGAAGAATTCATGGGGTGGGAAGGGCTGGCCTGGGAAAAAGGGGATGTCCTGGGGCAGGGGTGGAAACAGGGGAGGCGGCGAGGGCTGAGGAATGGGGTAGGGAAAAGGTACGGGAGGGGGCAGAGGAGAAGGCTGGGGTGGGGGCAAGGCCAGCTGCTCCCCGAAGTCTGGGGGCTGCCCATGGCTCCCCTGGAACGGATGATCCGGCTCTGGCCAGTCCTCAATCCACGGGTCTAGGAATGGGATGGTTGGTTGTTTTAGGCCTGAGAGCCAGTCCGCCCGGAATTCTGGTTGTCCACACTTCTCTTCCCTCCTCTGGGAAAACAGGGCCACCAGGCGGGAGCACCCTCTGCTTCCTACTCGGTCTTCCTCATTCCCTCTCATTTCAGGCCAAGTCCAGGGTACAGCCCTTCCTCCTTACTTTTCTCAATGTCATGGATCTGCCTTCGCTCTGACCTCATGCTCCTCTCTAGAGCCTTCTTCCTTTGCGCGCCCAGCTCCTGTATCTGTAAGCTTTTTCCTCACCCAGCTCCTCCCCCACAGAGCAATAAATGAGCTTAAGAGGTCTTCTTTCTGGACAACATGAGCTCCTATCATTCTCCTCTCCCAGAAGTCCCGTGCCTTCCAAACATCTAAAAGGAGTATTCTGCCCAGTTTCTATCCCTTCATCAATTGCTTCTGCCTCTTACCCTGACTTCACACCTTCAGCACTTTTCTGACTACAAGTAACCACTTCCTCTTTCCTGACAGTCACGTGACACAGCCAATAGACTCTGTCCTCCCTCAAAGTGCCTCTGCCCTCGTTTCCTTTGTTTCCTCCAGCAGCCCCTCTTCGCTTCCACAGCATGGTCCTGGTTCTGCTCTCTCTTTCACAGTCCACACTCATGCCCTCAGCTGGGCCCCGCTGACTCCAACCTACCGCACATTTCACAGCACCTCAGAGGTCTGCGCGCACCAGATTTGCCACCAGTCACATCCTCCCACCCAATTCTTCCTTTTCACGTTTCTATTTCTGGAGCTCCAAACTGGGTTCAGAAGACCTGAGCCACCACAAACTAGCTTTACAACCTTTAAAGCATCCCTCTCTTTGCTGGAGATTAGTTCTTCTCATGTAAAAATCAAGGAAACTGAACCGTTATATAATCAAATTCCAAATTCACCTCCCTAGTGCTCCAACTCCTAGCTACCAAGTCCTAGAAGTTCACCTCTGTGACATTCCTGGTGGCTCTCTGGCCTCACACTTCTAATGCTACTACAGACAGACTTCTCATCAGACTTGTGCCCCCAACTCAACAAAGAAACTACACAATTCTGTAGGTGCTACGTACACGACAATCGTGCTAGACATTGGGGCCAAAAGGGATGGGCTGGCAACATGGTAGGAACCTTGCTCTTTAAGGACATGATCCGGGGGAAAGTAGACCTGGCAACAATCAGTCACCATGCCCCCTTGGAAGAGCGGGCAGGAACTGAGAGGCTGGTGGCACCCACTAAAGGGCTTCTCTGCTTCTGCCACACTGCATGATGACCCTTCCTCCGCTTCTGTTTTTCCACCCCCCACCCCCATTACTAGCTAGAAATGCGTCCATTGCTTTCCTATTCCTCTGTAGGACAGGGATCTTCTGACATGCTACCTTACACGCTCAAAGCTCGTATAAACTCACTCACGTACACAGAGACGTCTACGTGCTAGCCCATACAAAACCAGAACTTAGATCAGGATGTCGCTCCTGTGATTCACTCTCCCCAGGGGGTGAGGAAGGAGCACTCAGGGGCCACAACAGTCCTTCGAGGGGTCCTGCTCCCCCTGAGGACCTGTGTCCTGTTCTGTTTCTGAGCCCTGTGCTCTAAGAATCCCCTCTGCATCACTATCCTACCCCCTGTGGTAGGCTCACCAGAAGGACAGTCACGCTTGGGCAGCTCCACGCCCCAGGCGTCGGCCACGTGGGTCAGAAGCAAGTGTGAGAGGTGGCGGTGGGCATGCTGGTCCCAATGGACACCGTCTCGGTGACGGTGCTGTACTGCATGCCGGAAATGAAAGTGGAGATCCAGGACATCAAAGCAGTGGTCCCCGGCCAGCGTTGCACTGTAGAAGTTCCCTTCAACCACATCCCGCAGCAGAGAGCCTGCCAGGGGCTGGAGCTGAGTAAGAAAGCGCAGCATCTAAGAGCCACACAATGAAGCAGGGTCGGGAGGGATGGCCCTCTATCTACCAGTCGGCTGTCTCCTCCCCCCCCACCTGAAGGGCCCCTGTTACTTGCCTCTGGCAGAAGGAAACCCCCAGTGACGCGCTCCCCCAAGGGCATTGCCATGTTCCAAACGAGCAGGCAAGAGTCTGGCAACACCTGGTCCATGCGCACGAACACTCGCTCCAGGTTCTCTCGGTAACTCTCCATCGAGCAGCGGCCATACCTGGTGGACAGTGCAAACAGGGTGGGCAAGGGCACTGAGTGGATAGCCTCTGAGCCACACCTTCACCCCCAATCCGTATTTCCCTCTCCCCCCTCCACATCCCCCCCACCCCGACCTGGAGAGGTCCCAGAGGCAGGAGTTGATGATCACCAGGTCCGGGGCAGGCCCATATGTCAGCTCCTCCAGGACGCCCTCGAGGTACTCGGAGTAAACGCGGGTGAGGAAGTAGAAGCGCACAAGGTGGTGGCCAGAACCCGAGCAGAACTGACGGACCTCCCGGTACTGTGTCCCGTTGTGCAGCTCGCCCAGCTGACCCCCAGCCACCAGTTGGTCCTGTTCAAAGCTCAGCTCTCCCTGTCCACCCCCACACCCAGCTGGTCAGAGCCATGCCAGGGAGGAAGACCCTGCCAGGCCAGGGTCTGTGCCCACCCACCACTGGCATGGCTGCCAAGCTTCCCTCACCTTGGCTTTCAGCTGAGCCGCTGTAAGCAGGGAGTCCCTCTGGAGCAAGAGCACTAGGTCCTTGTACACAGCCCGCTGGACTGCAGGGAGACAGAGATCCTGAGGCTAAGTCAGGCCTCACCCCACCCTGCTCACCCTAAGTCCAGGCCTTATCTTCCCAAGACCAGGGCTGCTGCCACTACCTCTGTGGAGTGTTAACAGAGATAGAAAAGGTAAGGTTAAAAAAATCCTGGTACTACCTCTGGCCACGCACCACCCTCAACTCAGCACACTGTGACCCAAGATCACCTGGCAGAAATAAGTGGGCCCAGGAGGCAGACAACACAATCCACTGCTCCCATAAAAGGAGTCCTGTGGGGGACTGTCCGTGTAAAAATTCGGAGCAAGGATGGGGTAAAAAATTTGACAGGTCTGGACACCTGTGGAAGGTGCATGGGAAAATAAAAGAAAACCTACTGGCCTGGAACAGACAGAAGGTCAGAAAAGAGATCTGGGAAGGAAACAGCGGGCCCAGTCATAGACTGAAGGCGCGGGCTAGGTAGTGTGATTCTAGAAGGGCACTCACTTGAGTCCCCCAAGATGACCACGAACTTGTTGTGTAGCAGCTGCTGGACTTCTGAGGCCTGGAAGTGGACCATGGCGCTTCGCAGCGGGAAGCGCGGCTCCTCGTTCTCCAGACAGAAGACCATGCCGCCGCTGCCAAGGACAGGGGGCGGGGAAAGGCCACTAAGCCTCGGAGCGGGGGGAGGGGGGACGCAGGGGGAGGGGGGCGCGGGGGGGGGCTCAGGACAGGTCGGCCCCAGGGCCCGCTAAACGAGACCTGCGCCGGCCCCTCCAGGGCTGCTCAGGGCTACGGGGGCGAGGTGGCGGCTGCAGAGGGGGGCTCATGGTGGCGCCTGCCTCGGTCACACTTGGCGCCGGAGTCAGAGACGGGTCGCTGATCCCCGGGCCTCCGGGGCACCGAGGCGCTTCCCGCGCGGCGCCGCCCTGCGCCCCGCCACGTGCCCGCCGCCTCCCCGCGCATGCGCGCGCCCGCTCGTGCCAATTACCGGGTCCCCGGGCTCTGCACCGTTCACCCGCGACCGGGGCAGACCCGCACACCGCGCGCCTCGCCCGCTGAGGGCTCCGGGCCTAGCCTCATGTTCCCGCGCCCCGAGAGGCCGGACGGTTCTGCACAGCCCGCGCCCGGCAGAACCCGTGCGTCCCGGTTAGCCGTCGGTGCGCAGCCCGGAGCCCAGCGCTCTCCATGCGTGCGTCGCGGCGGCCCCGACGGCGCCTCGAGCTTCGGCGCCGCGGGCGGCGACGTTCACAGCTTCCACTTCCGGTCACCCATGTCCCGCCCTGCGCGACCCCCAGCGCCCAAGGGGACAGGGAGGCGGCGGGGGTAGCCGCGGCAGAGGGCGGGAGCCAGGGCCGGGCCCACCCGGGCCGGCACGAGGCCCGGGTGTGGGCGGGGGCGCGGCGGCGGCCGAGCGCAGACTGCCCACAGTGGTGATGGCCGTGGCGGCAGCCTCACCGCGTGACCCGGACGGGCGGAAGCGGAAGTGCCGGCCCGGAGCCCGCACCCGGCGGGTGTCTCCTCTGCGCTGCCCAGCAGCCGCTCGCACCAGCCATGGACTGCTACACGGCGAATTGGAACCCGCTTGGGGACTCTGCCTTTTACCGGTGAGCCGCCCCGCCTTCCCGCCCACGGCCCGACTTACCCCGCTGGCCCGCCGACCGGAGTCTCCGGGCGGAGCCGGCGGCGCGCGTCCCCGTCACTGTGGGCGCTGGGGTCCGCCCCTCGCCAGCTCTCCCCCCAGCGTCTACCACTTAACGCACCGCAGCCTAATGCCCAAGGGGCCGGGCCTTCCCCAAATCCAGGAAGGAAACTGAGGCAAGCACGGCGGTCGCAGAAGTAGAGCAGAGCCCAACGCTGAAGCCCAGATCTGTCAGCCTCCGGAAGGATGCTTCAGATCACGCTGAGGGAGGCGGCCTGCGGGTGACAAAGTGTTTAGTCTTCTGTGGGAAAGTGCTGCCAAAGGCCGACTACAGGGGCGCTCCGCGGGAGGCGGGATCGCAAGGCGGGCGGCGTGACAGCAAACCGAGGGTGGGAGAAGGGGCAAGTCTTTTGTGAATCCAGGGGCAGCGCGAGTGAGGACCCCCAGCTAGCGAACCCTCTCCTGCGAGTCGTAGAGTCCTAAACCATTGATATGAAGTGTCAACCGATCACTTCATTACCCCGATAACAAGTTTTCAATGGCGCCCCTTCTTTATAGGTTAAAATACAAACTCCTTCTATTGGAACGTCTGTACTTCAACCCCTATTTGTCTCCAGCTCCATTTGCCCGTCTCCTACCCAAGTCTCCTGTTCAGTTGCACAGAGTTGTAGGACCCCAAAACGCCGCCATGTTTCATTGCTCCCCATATTTGCACCAGCTTACAGTTCCTTCTGTTGGTACTGCCATTGCCCTCTTTATCTCACCGGAAAATTATTTGCTCATGTTTCAGGGCTTAGTTCAAGGTTTCTTTCGGAAACCTTTGCTGTTCCAGTCCCAATAGAGTCAGCTGGCTTTCTTGGGCCTCATTGGATCCGGTGTTACTTCTGTTATGAACGCAGAGTAGAGTAATGTTTACGTGGGTTTCTTATGGTATAAACTAAGTTCCTTGAGGGCCAAGACTATGTTTATCTCTTTATGTCCAATGCACCTTTAGAACAATGGCTGCTCTGTAGTAGTTGTCCCCCAAAGTTTTAAGAATCTTTTATTGATTGCAACTAAAGGTCAGAAGATACTGCATTAGGGTGGTATTTCAGTACAAAGTACCCTGTTATGTTAGTGAAACTCTATACCCTTTTTATTCACATGTGAAAAGTTTTCAGTGCAATTTTTGATAACACAAAATGTTAGCCCTTAATGCTTCCAAGATGGACAAATGCTTTGTGGCAATTTTTAGAGCTCTGATGCATTTGTTGTTTATTTATAATTCTTATTTCTTATAAATATGCATACGCAATGTGAAAAAAATGCAGAAATTTAATTAAGAAACAGTCAAGTCAGTAGGAAGTAACAAGGATTTCAACTGTTTTGGGGTTTTTTTTTGTGGAGAAGGGATGTCATTTGACAGAAGTAGCTATATGACTTCCTGTTGACACATATAGCATACACTTTTAAAAACATGAACTTGTATTACTTCTGAGAATACATATTGCCCACACAGGTTGGTTAAGTCAGAGACTGCTAAAGACCATGACGTTATTACCACAGAGCTCCTGTTTATCGCACAGAGTCTTAGCTTTGTTGATGTACCAGGAAAGTTTTAAATGAATGTAATCATTGAGTACATGCCACAGACATGACCTGTCTGGCCAGCCTCCTCTCCCCTGTGCTGTGCTGCTAGAAAGAGTAAAGGTCTGAGTCTTGCTGTGGAGGATATATGATTTTTGTTAATGGATGTTGAGCCATTCTGTGTACTAGACACTGTGTTAAGTACTATATGTATTAACTTCTTTGTTTCACGATCCCATGAGATAGTTATCATTAGCCCTATCTTACTGATGAGGAAACTGAGGCACAGAGAGATTAGGTAGACCCGTTACACAGCTAGTAAACGGTAGAGCCAGTCTTTGAATCCAGTCTTTTAGAACCTGTGTTAAACCATCAGGTTTTTTTTTTTTAATGTTTGTTTATTTTTGAGAGGGGGATAGAGAGAGAGAGAGAGAGAGAGAGACAGAATCTGAAGCAGGCTCCAGGCTCTGAGCTGTCAGCACAGAGCCTCACTCCCGGCTCGAACTCACAAACCTCAAGATCATGAGCTGAACCAAAGTCAGATACTTAACCAACTGAGCCACCCAGGCACTCCTTGGGTTTGTTTTGTTTTAACAGGAAAATATAACCGCATATTCTAGCTTCACTAGAATGGAATTTTTTTTTAAAGTTTTATTTAAGTAACCTCTGCACCCAATGTGGGACTCAAACTCATGACCCCAAGTTCAAGAGTTGCATGCTCTTGCAGTTGAGCCAGCCAGGCTCCCCAAAAGTGGAAATGTTTTAAAATGCAACTGTTTGGTTTTATTCATATTTGTGCATAGCCTTATGCCAGAACATGTTCCAGTGAGTGAATGAATGATAAGTGGCAGACATTGCATTTCAAGTCCTTTCTATAGGATAGGATTCTTTTGCATTGGAAGTAATGTTCTGGAAAGTTAACTGAATTTGGGAAGGCAAGGAGAGGGAATGGCTACTAGTTCTTACGGAGCTCCATAATTTTAGCCATTTTTATCCTAAAAACCAAACTTGGATTGATCCTGTTGATTAATTTTGCTCAACTCTTTACCAGACTCAGTGTGTATTGACCAAGTAAAAGACATAGACCCTGCCTACTCTTATGGAGCTTACAGCCAGCAGGAGAGACAGTTGATAACCATTAATGACTTCGTATTTGTTTAATCATAATCATTATAAAGAAGAGATATAGGGTCCTAAACTAGTATGTAGAATAGACTGGGAGGTTAGAGGTAAAGAAAACTTTCTGAAGGAGATAATAATTCCCCCATCCAGGGGATGAATAAGGGTGATGAAAAAGAGCATATACAAAGGCCCTGAGGCAGGAAAGAGCAGGACACTCTCAGTCATCTAAACAGAGAGCCAGAGTGGCTAGATTGCCACGGACGACGGTGTGTGTGTGTGTGTGTGTGTGTGTGTGTGTGTGTGTGTAACTTCTAGAGGCATTAGCGGGGACAAGTTAGAAGGGGCAAGCAAATATGGAGGCAAAGGAGACTGGTTAGGGGACTGGTGGAATAGACAAGGGAGAAGTTGATGCCACACCCTCGGCAGTATGGTGGAAATGGAGAGAAGGGGATGCATCAGATATTTAGGGGACAAAATCAAAGGAGATTGTGATGCATTGCACTCAGTAGGAAGGAGATAGAGCAAGAAATGAGGATGACTGGGGTGTGGGCTTAAGGTAATGAGAAGAGAAGAGTAAATTTTGTGTGGAAAGGGTTAGCTTCATTTTGGACACATTATTTCAGGTACTTTAGAAACAACACTTATGATAAGAGAAAGGAGGCAAGATACATTATGTATTCCTAAAACTTCTTAGAAGAGAGGTTGACTATTTAGTAGGATTGGGGGAAGGGGTTGTGACATGTAAACATGAACTTTTTTTTTTTTTAAGATTTTATCTTTTTGTAATCTCTATACCCAATGTGGAGCTTGAACTTAAAGCCTCTAAGATCAAGGGTCACGTGCTCTACCGACTGAGCCAGCCAGGTGCCCCTAAAACATGAACATTTAAAAAAATTGTGGTTAATATACACAATATAAAGTTTCCTGCCTTAACCATTCTAAAGTACAGTCCAGTAGTGTTAAGTATATTCATGTTGTGCAGTGAATTCCAGAACTTTTTCATTTTGCAAAATTGAAACTCTATAACCATTAAATAATAACTCCCCATTGACCCGTTCCCCCCCGCCCCGCCCCCAGCCCTGGTAGCCACCATTCTTGTTTCTATTTCTGTGAATTGGACTACTGTAGATAGCTCATATAAGTGGAATCATACAGTATTTGCCTTTTTGTGACTGGCTTATTTCACTTAGCATACTGTCCACAATACTTATCCATGTTGCAATTTGTGTCAAAATGTCATTCCTTTTTAAGGCTGAATAATATTCCGTAGTATGTATTTGTTTATGCATTTATCTGTCTTATACTTACTTCCACCTCGTGGTTGTAAATAATCGTGTTGTGAATAACGCTGCTAGGAACATGTGTGTGCAAATGTCCCTAGAGCCTGTTTTCAGTTCTTTTGGATACTGAATGGAACTGCGGATTACATGTAATCCTGTTTGTTTATTTATTTATTTATTTTTTGAGGAATTCTTGTACTGTTTTCCATGGCAGCTACACCGTTTTGCATTTCCAGCAACAATGGACAAGAGTTCTTTGGTAGTATTTATTTTTGTGGCCAATTGGAATCAAAGGATTTCAGGGGTGTTGGTGGGCTCTCTTTTGGGCCTGAGGATTTTGGAATAAATAGATTATTCCCCAAGGCTAGACCTGATGTGCCTCTTCCTCCCCAGTGTTCAATAGCCCAGCGGGGACCCTCCAGGCAAAGGCTGGAGATCATCTGTTTTCACACAGGGCTCTTCTCGCACCTTGGCAGACCATGCTTAGGATTGGAAACTTTCCAGGAGTTCAGCTGCACAGACACTGGGATTCCTCCAGTGCTTCCTGGAGGGGCTGGAACTGAGGCTGCAAGAGCTGCTAGGTTTAGTGACTTCCTGGTATTCGAACCCAGGGTCTGTTTACTGCTGCTGAGATTTCCCACTTCTGGATCCTGGGAGTAGAGGAGAGAGATGTGACTGGCCTTCCTCATTAAGGCTGTGACTGTCCTTACAAAAGTCCATACCCCTAGGCTTTTCTGAGAAGCCACCCTCCCTGCTGCCCTTCCCTCTGCCTATCCACACCCCATGCCACCCCATAGGCAAGACCTGAGTCATCTGACTGTCCCTGAGAAGCCGCCTTTACCTCGAAGCCTTGGGAGGTAGTCCATGTTTTGTTGTTCTTCACTCACTGACTCTTAATTCCTGTACCCTGTAGAGGAGCTCTGCCTCCTTCCCAGCCAGGTCTGTGCTGCTGCCAACCTCCTGAACCACATCCCTCACTGACTGATTGGACAGCTTC